CTTGGTGCCGTCAGGTGGTAGTGGTCCTGGCCAATGAGCAGCATAGGCGTTACCTCTGCAAGTGAAGGCAAGTCGATGTGCGCCAAATGCGACCACTGTCGGGCAAGTTTCTGCTGGTTGACAAACTGCTTCGGCAGACTGAGGTTCGCCACCGTCCGGACGTTCTGCAAGTCAAACTGCTCACCTCCGTCTCTAGGTGAGATGCACAGATTGACACGGCATGAGTTGGCATGGTGCTGACTGTGATTCCCAGTCCAACTCAGGTGCAGGGGATCTACCGGACCAGTAGCGCCCAGCTCCCTGGCAAGCTTCTCGTCCACAATGCTCACAGTGGATCCTTCATCCAGGAGCGCATGCGTCTTGACGCTGTGCCCGTTGGATACTGAGAGCGACACTGGTACAACACGCAGGGCAACTCGAGTTCGCTGAGCGGTGTGAGAATTGACGCTCTCCTGCTGTCCAGTGTGGCCACCGCTGTTCCTGTCAGACGGGTGCACTAATTCATGGTGACGCTTTCCGCAGTCACCAACGGAGCAGCGATTCCGACTCTTGCAGTCGGTTACTCGGTGGCTGCGGCCGAAACAGAGAAAACACAGCTTCTTCTCCGCTACCCATTCCCTACGCTTCTGCAGTGGCAGTGCTTTAAAACTGTCACAGCTGCGCAGCGGATGTTGGCTGCTGCAGTAATGGCAGGCGAAGGGTGCACGCTCTTGCTGTCTGGAGCTGCCGCTGTTGCTCAATGTGGTGAGGGTGGTCTCACTTCGAGTTCTCTTGTTACTGCTGCTGCCGCCGCTGCTGCTGACACTCCCTGTCTTCAGCACAGTCACTCTGCTTGCTGCACTAGCCTTGCCGCACAGCCACACTGAAAAATCATCCAGCGACAGCTTCTCCGGATCGAAATTGGCGATCATCTCGCCCCAGTTCAGGCGCATGCCAGCCGGCAGTTTGGCAACAAGTTCTTGTCGCAGCTGAGGGTTGCGCAGGTGCCCAGTGCTATTCATTAGCTTCATGGTCTGCACCAGCCCACGCACAGCAGTTGAGAACTCTACGAGCTGCTCAAAGTCGTCGGCTCGCAAAGTGCGGAAACTCTGAGCACGGGTGATGAGGTGGTGCACCACGTGCTCGGGACGGCCAAAACGCTCTTGCAGAGTGGCAAGAATCTCCGGAACATTGTCTGGGACAGCCAGCATAAACTGGACTGCATCTCTGGCCTTGCCCTTCAGTGCACGGTGCAGTCGGCTGAGGTTCTCGGCATGCGAAAACCCACAGTCCCGGGTTGTGGTGTCGAACATCTTCTTGAAGATGGGCCACTCTTCAGGCTGCCCGGCAAACTGTGGCAGATCCTTCCCAGCAGCTTGCCTGGCCATATAACCCTTCATATGGCGCTGTGCTGGGGTGTCTGAGGGCTTCTGCGTGCCTACCGCTGCCAGGATAGCTCCAGCGAGCTGCACGATGTCAGACTGCGGCTGCTGTGTAGCATCTGACTGCGGCGCCTGCTGCTGACGTACTGCCGGACTGCGGACTGTGGCTGTTGACGTTGCTGGTGGTTGCGTAACATCTGACTGCGGCGTAACATCAGACTGCGACGACTGCTGCTGACATACTGCTGGACTGCGTACTGCGGCTGTTGACGTTGCTGGTGGCTGGTTAGCTGTAGCTGCGTGGCCACCGCCAGCAGACACTGCCACAGCTGCCTGGCGAGTTCCACCACGTACAGACTGTTGGGCTGGCTGGCCTCTTACACTGCTACTACTACTAATGCTAGCACGCGTTGAGCGCCTTGACCCCGAGTACGCACTACTACTAGTACTGGAACTGTCACGCTGGCTGTCGATGGCTTCATGCTGCATCGCCAGCTCAATTTGCAGCAGTCTCCTCTGCGACTCTATCTGTTGCTGCTCCAATTCAGCCAACCTCTTTGCAGCCTCGTACTCAGCTCGTAGATGCGCACTCCGCGCACCGCGACTACGCGCACTGCGACTACTAGTAACGCTAATACTGTCCACACCAATGGACTTCAGACTGAGCACATCATGTACACTGGCACTGGGTGATGGTGGCAACGACAAATTCACCGCAGCGTCAAAGGCAAGCTGAGTGTCAGTCTGTGTCGACTCCAGCCACTCACCGAGCCGATCTGGCGCTCTCCCTCTGGTGGTTCTGGTGCTCTTGCGCGACATCTCAACAGCAACGATCGAAATGCACACAAAATTTCAAAAATATACACTATACGATCGTAACACAACGAGCTACGGAATAGGCCTTATGCACATTGTACAGATGCACGAAATCCCGTATAATCTTGTAGAATCCCGTAGACCCGGTTGGGTGTTGAATGTGCAGGACCCTATTGTGTTTACTGCTATTTCCACTATGAAATGGGCCATGAAGGCATTTCATACGAAATCTTTTTCCGGCAGGGATCTAGCTAGTCGTTAGTTCAATCCCAAAGTGAAGAAGGCTTGAAAAGTGATCGTTTGCCATGAATTGTGAGGCTAAATGGGTCAAACGCGCATGTATAGCACACAATGAACACCCAACCGGGTATGTACACACCTACGGCCCTAGTACAGAACTTCGTACATCTGTACAATGTGCATAAGGACTATACAGAAAGCTTTACTTCAGGGCTGTTCGATTGGCTCCGGATGCACCTCCGCACATCCGGCTCGAAGGACCAAATGTTCAGGGCAATACGGACAACCCAAGTCACGACCACACATCGAAAACTACTGCTCGCTTGAAGACTGTATAAAGTGTATTCACAAACAACAACAAATCTCAAAAACTCTGAAAAAGAAACTAAACAAAAAAGCCACGAGGTCCGCTCAGCACCTCGCGCACCAAGACCATCTAGGAAAATGGAGGCATCGCAGTTCGCCTTCAAGGAAACAGCAACTATTACAGCGAAGCGGTGAAAACTGCAAGAAAGCTAAAGCCATAGATCACGGACACAACGGAAAAGCCTGTACCAAAGAAAAGCGCATCGCTAGCCGCGCAGCATTGTACACACACAGCGCACAGTTCACTGTACATTTGGCAAAAAAACATAAAAGAAAATCAAGACTGTTCAAAGCGCAAAAAACACATGTTCAAGGAAATTCAAACGAAGAGAAAAGAGAGTAGAGAAGTTTAGAGAAGTACAAGAACGAAGAAATGGAGAAGAGAAACGTTCTTATGATGAAGAGTAGAGAGAAGAGCAGAGAGAAGAGAGAGACAGACTGGAAAGCAGTTCTACAGAAGACGTGAGAGAGAAGAAAGGTGAGAAAATAGACAGAACGAAAATAGCAAAGACAAAGTACACAACAAATTCAAAACAATGTCGATCTTGTTCACAAGTTCAACCATCAGGCAGGAACAGCCACAATATTCTAATAGGCCTTTCAAATGCAAGATCATAACGTGAAGCAACTTTGAAGAATGAGTATGTATGCGAAGTGTATCGGGGGAATGCAAGCATGGCGATAGTGATGGTTCGAATCCTATGTTATGTTTTGAAAATAAAATAGGAGAATGAATGTTTTTAACATCCCTATCCTTTTTTTGCCTAGGTCATCAAGGTGGCAGACGGGGTGTCGTAATAACCTCGAATGACAAGAGAAAGTTTATTTCTTTCGCTCAGGGCCCTACGTTATTCGAACTGATGGAAACGTTTTGCAATACAATGATGTAGCCGATCAGTTCGTTGTGGTGTGGGTGGGCATTGTAGCCGTCATGGTCGACGTAAAACACTATAGCCAATCAATAGAAAAAACATGTCCATCAGTTCTAATAACATGCACGATCAGCTAGGCAAAAAAGCATAGAGTAGGGCCCTGAGCTTCCAAGCTCTCTCGTTGTACGAAGCCAACACTTTGGTTTTTTTTAGGCCTGGGCCGATCAGGCTGAGCTGTTCTTTGTGCTGGTCATTAAGTTCCTCAACCAGTGGCGAATCAACGTTGGATACAGGGGCGTCACACCCCGTATGACCAGTACGACCAGGGTTATACCACTTTTCGTCCAGGATGGTCTGCCCAGAGTACTTGTAGAGCGCTAAAACGTGCCCTGTTGACCGAAAAATCCGATCCCCCCCCCCCCCCCCCCCCCCCCGCTCGGGACAGCCCCAGACCCCGGTCATACCACTGCCCTGCGACGCCCCTGGTGGTACTAACGGGTTGGCTTGGAAACGGGATAATTTGGGGTCCAAACTGTCCCGTTTCCAAGCCAATCCTGTTGTACCACACTCGACGATCATTCAGGCCACGGCGGAATCTTTTTAATGACATCAGCAGGGCAACGGAACAGCAGGGCAACGGAACAGCAGGGCAACGGAACAGCAGATCAACGCAATTAAAAAATATAACTACTTGTAGGCTGACATTGATAAGTTGTGTCCTTTGGCTCTGGCCTCTTGGTATTGAGCACTTTTTGCAAGGATGTAGCAACATAGCTTCAGCAGAATATCAAATTTGTCTTAAACCTAATGAACTTATACCGTATCTTTGAGACAAGCGTGGAAGAGCATACACGTGTGTGTAGTTGAGCATATTTCTGCCAACATGATGCAATATAAAATCTACTGTGGGTGAGCTCATTGCAGCTCAAGATCCGGGTTGTGCACTCTTGGTTGTGTGCTCTTGCTTTTAAATAAAACAGAGATGTTCCAGGCTGTCCCTGAATAGAGTGCTCAATGCCGAAAGGCACTACTCTTGATTTTTGTGACATAAATGAAGGGTACTGGCTACTCTGGCGCTCGGTCTCAGTCCCTCGGACTTGGCTACCGCTCTTGGCCTCACCAAGACTCCTGCTCCGGCAGTAAATACCTGACCCCGATGTGTGCACTTGTGTGGGCATGTGCATGCTTGTGTGCGTATGTGTGTGTGTGTGTGTGTGTGTGTGTGTGTGTGTGTGTGTGTGTGTGTGTGTGCGTATGTGTGTATATGTGCATGTGTGTATATGTGCGTTCATGCGTGCTTGTGTGTACGTGTGTGTATGTGTATATATGTGTGTGTGTATTACAGTATACGTACAAGAGGTTGGTAATGAAGGACCTCATTGCAGTTACGAAGAAGTTCGCTGAGTTGCGTGCGAAACGATCACAGTTCAGTATGTGCCGAGCTAATGTTTCTGCTGGTGTTGCTGGTGCTGCTGCTGCTGCTGCGTGTGTGCGTGCGCACGCGGGCGTGCGTGCGTGTGTGTGTGTGTGTGTGTGTGTGTGTGTGTGTGTGTGTATAATTATGTGTGCAGGTGCGTGCACCGTATGGGTTTTTTGGTGTCCGGAAACCACCTTTTTTCGGGGTATCTTGCCAAAGGAAAAGTGTGCCTACTGGATTGTTTATCGTGCATATTCCCCGTCAGTCGACGAGCAGTTTACAGTACAGTGACTATGTCCTTTTCGAAGTGAGAGAGGGAGAGAGAGAGAGAGAGAGAGAGAGAGAGAGAGAGAGAGAGAGAGAGAGAGAGAGAGAGAGAGAGAGAGAGAAAGAGAGAGGGAGAGAGAGAGAGAGAGAGTGAGAGAGAGAGAGAGAGAGAGAAAGAGAGAGGGAGAGAGAGTTGCTTTGCCTGCAGTTCAAAATACAATATTCTCTCTTTCTTCAGTGGAAAGTCACTACAGAGAGATGTCTCTAGCTCTGGTCCGCTCCTGGATTGGCGATGACGACTTGACGACTCATTGACAGCATGGCGCAGCGCAGGGCACCAAAAGACGAAATAACGAAAACATCGTTCAGTCGGCTAAAAAAAAGGGGGGGGGTTCGTCCGAACCCTGTGGACCCCCCCCCCCCCCCCCCCCCCGGTACGCGCCTCCACATGTTGTAGTCCCGTTCCACTTACCCATAAATGGATAGCGCTCTCTATATACTTTACACTCTCATGAGTTGATTGTTGCATGATTGGTTATCTCTATACATCCCCATGCCATGTACAGATATGCAACCTGGTAGTTCAAGTCGTTCACCTGTATCTTTCATTGTTCTATGTGAATAAACCTTAGAGTGGTTGTCTAGGACTAGTGGAGTGAAGTTGATCTATGAAGTGCAGCGACTAACTTGATGTTCACCCAGGAACATAATTGCACACACCTGCAACGATCCTTCTTTTACTGTCTTTCTCTGCATCATCGGATCGTAGAACAATCCAATGGTCAACGTTGCTACTTGGTGAAGCTCTATGGTACAATACCAGTGCGTTACAAAGGTGAGATTATCACGACATCGCCTCTGTGGCTCTTGCGCTACCTCCTGTTGTGCCGGGGACTGTAGTGGGCTGGTCTTGGCTGATCTGGTTTGAGGGTATGTTTGTGCTGGTGTTCGCCATATTTGCAGTGCATTTGTCTGCCATTCCAATAGGGAGAGGAAAAGGAAAGAAAGATGGATGGACGGATAAATGGATGGGTAGATGGATTCATTTTTTTGTTATATTAAAAAAAACTTCTCTAGTGAAAGTGAGCATACAGTCATCAAGCTTTTCACATTTTTATATAATTATTGTTGTGGGCTGTGCTCATATTAATGTCATGCTGTGATTCTCATGTGTTATTGGGTGTGTGTGTGTACGCGGGTGCGTGCGTGCGCGCGGGTGTGCATGTGTTGACAGGTAATGTGTATAATATTCCAGTGTGTCTATGGCTGGATCATCAACATCCGCACCGTGCACCAATCTGTATGGTGGAACCCAAACAGAATATGCAAGTCAAAACTGGCAAGAATATCGACAGCAAGGGCATGGTGAATCTTCCCTATCTACGTGACTGGATATTTGTAGGTTTCTATGTCTGTCTGTCTGTCTGTCTGTCTGTCTGTCTGTCTGTCTGTCTGTCTGTCTGTCTGTCTGTCTGTCTGTCTGTCTGTTTGTCTGTCAGCGTGCCTGCCTGCATGTCTCTCTCTCTCTCCCCACCCCCTCTCCCTCTCTCCCCTCTCTCTCTCTCTCTCTCTCTCTCTCTCCCTCCCTCCCTCCCTCCCTCCCTCCCTCCCTCCGAGGCTCTCTCTCTCTCTCTCTCTCTCTCTCTCTCTCTCTCTCTCTCTCTCTCTCTCTCCCTCCCTCCCTCCCTCCCTCCCTCCCTCCCTCCGAGGCTCTCTCTCTCTCTCTCTCTCTCTCTCTCTCTCTCTCTCTCTCTCTTTCTCTCTCTCTCCGTCTCTCTCACTCTCTCTTTCCCTCTCTCTGTGCCTCTCTGAATCCCTGTTCCCTGGATCTTTCTCTCTTTGCTATTCTCTCTGTCGTTATCCTTTTTTATCTAAAATTTCTGATACACGTGGTGAATTTTAGGGTGACTCGAAATAGACCCAGAAAACGAAATCCTGATGATAAGCGTACCATTCTTGGGTCCGTACACATTCGTGTGAAGTCTTCAATTACAGGATGGCCATGGTGCCACGTAAGCTTTCAAGGCATAACAGGATTGCACTTGACACGGCTTAGCATATTTGACCATGCATATCATGATTGCTCAGCGTGATTGCATTATCAAAGTGAACAACGTGGAAAGCAGACACAAACACAATGTATGAGAAGCCAATATTTTTTGTCTGTTTCACCAACTAGTACCTAGATGATTATGCATGCGTCCTGGGCACTCAACGTGTCATGCTAAAGTTTGCCTAGTTATATATTTCGATCCGTTCTGTGTGTGGATCACTCTTGTCAGATCATTGTGTTTCACCCACCCACCTCCCATTTCTCATCTCCCATTTACTTTGATAAAGTAAATAAAGGGGTGTTGGCCATGCTCATTTCCGGCTACTCAGGGCTCTCGGTCTTCGTCCCTCGGACGTGACTATCCTCTTGGCTCCGCCAAGATCCTGCTCTCTCCGTAGCCTCTCACTTCGCTGGCCAGCACCCTCCTAACCGCAAGCTGCTGTGTGTTGTAGTTAATGTCTGTGTGTGTGTGCGTGTGTGCGTGTGTGTGCATCATGCATGTGTGTGTGTGTGTGTGTGTGTGTGTGTGTGTGTGTGTGTGTGTGTGTGTGTGTGTGTGTGTGTGTGTATGTGTGTGTGGGGGGGGGGGGGGCGTGTGTGGATGTGTGCATGCCTATTTGCGCATGTGTGTTGTTGTTTACTACTGCTGCAGCCTAACTCCGATATCCTGAACCTGATTCAAGTGATGCAGTTGCAGTTTGAAGAGGAGTGTCCAGTGTACTCACGCCCAGCTGGGGAACCTGCTGCTGCTGCTGTTGCTGCTGTTGCCGGCAACTCCACTGACCGACGATCATCACTGTCTCAACCATCCTGCACACCCCTCGCCAACAGCAGGTCCAGCTCCACTGCGCAGGCTGCAATTCAAAGTAGCTCCTCTTCACAAGTTTCTACCCCGAAGAGACGTGCCAAGGAGGATGCGCAAACCCAGTTGGCAGCTCTTACGGCACGAGTCAGTGCACTCAAGGTTGAGAGGACAGAGCTGACGTCGCGTGTGCAAGTTCTGACATCACGCGTGGACGTGGTTGAAGACGAGAAGGCTGATCTTGCGTCGCTCGTGGCTGCGCTGGAACGCAAGAACACTACGCTTGAAAGAAGGAGCTCTGTACTTGAACGAAAGAGCTCTGCACTTGAAAGCAAGAATGCTGAGCTTGAACGGAAGAGCTCTGCACTTGAGAGCCGGAACGCTGAGCTTGAACGAAAGAACACTTCACTTGAAAGTAAGAGCAGTGAGCTTGAAAGTGCGAACACTATGCTGAAAAATCGGGCCAGTGAGATGCGGCAGGCAGCGTCCGTTCTCTCCAGCTATGCGCATGATCCAGACTACGACACATGTCATAGTGTTGGTCTTGTACCATCGGCCAGGCATCAACAGTATGCTGTGACCACTGTCACTGCATCAGGAAGCCAGCAGGATGATCCGGGCACCGCTGCTGCACAGTTGGGTATTTCCAGACAAGAGTACCGGCTACGCGAGGAGTGCCGTGACAATATCGTCATCCACAATCTACCTGAACACTCGGGTGAAGATCTGCATGACATTTGCGCAGGTCTGTTCAGGATAGACGCTGATCTAATACAGTCTGCAGCACGCCTCGGAAGGCCGCGACAAGAGCCAAAGAGCGCCTCCGGTCGCAAGGCTGCAGCAGCAAGGCTGGTGCGTGTGCAATTTTACAACCAAGACGTCAAAGCTGCTGTGTACAAGATGCGCAACATCAAGCACAGAGGCACTGCCGTCCGCCTCACCCATGACATGACGCCCAAGCAACTCAGCACTCGTAAGCTGTACACCGACCAGTTTCATGCGCTCCGCAAGATCGGCGTACGGTGTTCCCTGCCTTTCGATCGTATCCTGGATGCGAATGGTAAGCCACTTTCTGACAGCGCCATTCAAGAGCTATTGCCAAACGATACCCTCTATGTTGCGTAGTAACGCACGTACTCCGCTGTGTATGTGTACGTGCATGCAGCAGGCAGGCGGGCATGCAAGTGTGTGTGTGTGTGTGTGCGTGCGTGCGTGCGTGTGTGTGTGCATGCACGTGTGTGTGTGTGCGCCCTCGTAAATGGATTCAAGGCGGATTGATGTTCAACAACTCTGTCCCGATGCTATCTGATTCTCTTTCTGTAGATATATAGCTATGTAGCATTGCTATAGTGCTGCACCGTTTCCATGCTGGTCTTGGTAGTTTAATGAATTATGTTGATAGGGAAGGCCCTCCAGACGTTGCCGTCTTGTTACAGGGAATTCCATAGCGCTGTACTGTTTCCATAACTCGGTACTATTCCCATAACTCGGTACCGTTTCCATAGCTGTGTACCGTTTCTCTAGCTGTGTAGCATCTCCCAAGCTCTCTTAATTCCGGTCATTGTCCCCGGTCTGGTTTCACAGATTGAGACGGTTGAGTGCAAGCGATGTTCACAGTCTCCTTGATTCCCTTTTCGTTGCGCATGCTGATGCACATCTAGATCTGCGCGTGATGTACTCTTGTTAGATAGGTACTCGTAACTCATGCGTACTGTACATACATGTAGTAGTAGTAATATATCTACTTCTGTAGCACAATCATGATGACACTGCGCACGCTCTTGTGCAGGGCTTTTTCCCCAATCTACTGCTTACTGGTGCTTGCTGGATGCTAGTGTGTATGGGGATCAGGACACAACACTCCGTATATATGTATATAGCAGGCATTTTTTTTACATCGGTGATGCCTACCTTTACTGCCGCTGGCTGTAAATAAATTATAATTACATATTCGTATCTGCTCTACAACACTTACATTTAGAAGGAGAACACACTTCACGTTCTTCAACAACATTTCGAAATTGCTCAGAATTACAATATGTAATAATTCTACTTTCGAGGCTTCTCTTCGGGTGATATGTACGGCAAGAGCAAGCATGACAAAAAGGTGTAAGTGTCACGGAAACCTACCGCTAAACACGCTAAGCATGAGAAGTGGTGCAGCAACAATAGACAACCAATGGGCAATGGACATCAGTAACGAGTTTGGCTTCTTTCTTCGAATCTTCGCACTAACTGTCACTTGCACCTGTTCGTCATCAGTCTTTCTACATGTATGTGTACGGGTCACCATGGTCACACATCTTATCGTTGTTGCTTTTACTAAGCCGCGTTTTCTTCTTAGCGCACCAAAAAAGTGACCATGGTCTTGAGCAGGGAGTCGTCAAATACCATATTTGACGACTCCCTGGTCTTGAGAAACGTACGTCACGGCTTTTAAAGATTTTCTCTTGCACCCAGTACATGCACACCTCGGCATGAAACAAGGTGGAGGACATCGTGTTCGGAAACAGTGACCTTTCTACAACCATCCACGGTTGGTAGAGCCCCGGCCGGTTGTTAGTTAGACCCAGTTCTGACCCTCTCTATTCTAGGGGAGTTGTATTATACTGACGATACCAGAAGTCTAAAACAACTCCCCCAGAATAGAGAGGGTCAGACCTGGGTCTCACACCGATACGGTTCAGATGGTCGCAACCGACCGCGGCTCTACCAACCATGGATGGTTGTAGAAAGGTCACTGTTTGAGAACACGATGTCCTCCACCTTGTTACATGCTGTCAACCAATAACATGTTTCAACAAAACAAGGTTTATCTATTACCTCAACATGTACAGTAAATCAAGACGGCAAGAGCTCTACTCTTGGTAAAACCTGTCACCATGGTGACAGCGTGTATCGTCCGCCCCAGTTTTTTGTTTGTCCGGCCCTGTACCAAGCGGAATTTCGTATTGGCCGGACACATTTTCATGCACCCCCA